TTCCCTCAAAAATTTTGTTTTAAAAGTGTAATTCTATTTAAAAGAACCATGTTTAACTGCATCAAAGCACGCTCACTAATTCACACCATTTTAATGAAAATCTTCTGGTCCCATATTCTTCATTCTGTTCTTTCAACACCAGTAAACATAAGCGTACGTTAAATTATACGTTTCTTTTCATTGTAAAAACAATCTATTTCCCTTTCTAAAGCTTTCGCGACATGTCGCCATGCCAGAATATTCCAAGCGCGGACACAAACTTTTCCTTTCAGTGACTGCAAGCAAATTCGCTGTATTGAAACGCACGAAGCCAAATCCCCTGTTCCGCTGCGTAGAGCTTTCAAGTTAAGTACCTCCAATTATACAGGTTATTATAAGTCCAACGAACTCGAGAAGCTATTTGAAAAACTATCTTGTCATTCTCACTATACTTCGTTCACGATGTGTATGACCATGGACAAAAAGTGGTTTAAAAAGTCAGTTCGAATGAGTCGTTGTACGACATTCCGAACGCCACCGAGCCAACCACCGATCACTGCACTGACGACAATAAACAACCTTTTCAAGCCGGAGCTCGTCCACATATTAATTAAAAATCCTGTCCGTACCGCAAAGAAAACACCACACTTCACGATCACAAAGATCAACTGGTTAACTCTGTTTAAGGAAATAATTGCTTTTTACATCGAGAATCATACGAGACACATTAACAGAAAATTCAAACTTAACTAACGTAAAGCAGGTAGTATATATAGTTCTTATTCTGTTTTTAAGGGTTAAAATGAACCATCGCACACCTCCCTGCATTATTTTACAAACTTGTTGACAGCATGAAGTTCCGCTGTAACGGAACAGACATCGCTGGAGCTCAACAGGTTATTTAACGATGTTGTTTCGGCTACAGACGTCATATAATGTGGAATGAAATTGGCAGATGATTATTAACGGCGACTAGATGATTCACAAATTCAAACTATACGCCTTGATATAACGTCTAATTATATCAACTACCCGGTCTGACAACACATTTCCACTGTAACGTATACAAAACCCAAAACCCAAAAAAAAAACAAGTCCTAGAGTGGGCCCACTCTGTCAGTCAACACCGTGTGGTTGCCTCATCCCATATCAAGGTCTCCTAAAGCGGATTAAAATTGCGAACAAACAACAATAATTACCCGACTTACCTCGGGTCCGCCCCATTCTGCCTTGTGCAATGCAGCATTTTAAGAACTTGTTAAGGTTATATTTGATGTGGGGGTTAAATGAGAGATAATTACACAGAAGGAGGTCACTGATACCTTCGGCCA